GGCGATAACTGTGACTGGGACTGGACACGCTGTGGACACTCTAAGTGAGGAGGAAGACCAAGAACCTGCTGAAGGAGCGGAACGAAGTACGGCCGAGGCCGCGTGGCGGCTTCAGACACAGCAGGGACAACACCAGCACCCTCAGCGGTAGCACCAGCACTAACAGCACCTCCAGCTGCAGTACCTCCAGCAGCACCAGCAGCACCCACAGCAGGACCGCCGACAGGACGGACAGGAGTAGCCACAGTGCCAACACCCTCAACAGCTCCAGCTCCTGTCGTACCCGCAGGCCCAGCAGCTCCAACACTCCCACGACGAGCACCTCCGGGACCGGCGACACCAGCACCCTCAGCTGCCGAAGAAGCTCCAGCTCTAGGAGTACGCCTCCAGCACCAGGCAAACCATTCGCGCAGCTCCTGTGGAGAGAGTGGCTCCCGCCGAGACAAAGCACCCGGAGAACCTCCAGGCCCAGCACCGCCAGACGCCACACGAGCAGGTCCAGCGGCCGCTGGCTCTGCACCTCCAGGCTCGGTGGCTCCAGACGCAGCACCCCCAGGCTCAGCACCCCCAGTCTTAGCACCCCCAGGCTCAGCACCCCCAGTCTCAGCACCCCCAGTCTCAGCAGCCCCCGGCTCAGCACCCACTCGCGCAGCACCCCCAAAGTCAGCACCCCCAAGCTCAGCACCCGCAGCAGTACCAGAGTCACCAGCAACCTCGACCGGCTCGAGTGCGTCTACCTGGGACACACCTGAAGGGGCAAGACCCTGAGGGGGGAGGGGGTCTACCGGGGGGAGACCTGGCACAAGGAAGAGCGCAGACGGGGGGAGGGAAGGAGTGCGGTAGGGGAAGAGACGGTAGTAGGGGACCGACTCGTCAAACGTGACGTCCTGGGAGGACAGAACACGTCAAGAGGAGGGGTGGTAGAACTGCCACCCTGGCGCATCAGGGGGGAAGCCAAGGAAGACACAGGGAGCAGCACGAGGGGACAGCTTGTCCGCAGACAAGTCGCGGACAAACGCCCGAGATCCCCAGACACGGAACGCAGACGCATCGCCGACCTTCCCCGTCCATAGTAAAGCTGGGGACGTCTCCGGCATGGAGACCCTGGGGTGAAGGTTGATCTGATGCGCCGCGTACCGAACCGCAAACGGCTACAGAAAATGGGGGGCAGCCGCATGCATCATGGACGTACGAGCGACGTCCATGACCATGCTAATGCGGCGCTCAGCAATCCCATTTTGCTGTGGAGAGTCCAGAAGCGTTAAGGTCTGGCGGATGCCTCGTGCACGGCAGTAGGCTCGCAGAAGGCCAGAGGAGAACTCTCCGCCTCGGTCAGAGTGCAGAGCTGAAGCTCCTCCTGAGCTGGAGATGAGCTGCGCTGATCCAGTCGATCAACACCTCAGTGACATCACCCTTGCTGCGCAAGGGGAAGACTGTGGTGTAATGCGAGTAGTCGTCAACCACCAGCAGGAAGTAGCGCTCGTGACCCTGGCCACGGACGCGGGCTAGGCCCCACACGTCCATGTGAAGCGTCTGCAGCGGGGCCTCTGTCGGGGGAAACTGAGAGGAGTGAGGGGCAGCCCGGAGCCGCCCCTCGACACAGGGGACACAGGAAGGACCAGGCCCTGGAGGAATGGGAGGAAGGGACCGGGGAAGACCAGAGACAAGGACACGGGAAGCCATGCCTCGGAGACGAGGCAGGGAGGGGTGACCAAGACGGTGGTGCCACAGGAGAGTCTCGTGAGACAAGAGGCGACACGAGCAGGGGGCAGACTCGGGACCAGACCTGGATGCTGCAGCAAACACCTGACCCGACGTAGCTATCTGGCCAGACGCAGGGACAGGAGGAGACCCAGTAGTCAAGGTGTAGAGGCTCGACCCCGGCCCACGCAAAAACGTGGCCAGGTGCCGGCCTGTGCGTGCGTCCGAGCAGTGGGTCACCCGCTGACTCGCAGGAGTAAACTGGTGAACCCCCGCATCCTGCAGGTCAGCACCACTCACCAAGTTCATCGAGAACGAGGGGAGGTAAAGACCAGACAAGGTGCCAGAGGGGGCAGCCGGACACGGGAGGACAGTGGAGAAGTGAGAGAGGACAGGACCCCCAGAGGGGTCTGCCAGGGAGACTGCAACCAACCGACCAAGCGGCGTGAGTGTGGTGCGTTCTCGAAAGAAGGAGCGAGAAGCCCCTGAGTCAAGTGTGAAGGTGAGGGAGGCCGAAGCCGACGTGGTACCTGAGAGCGCAGCCTCACCTGCACCTGAGGGCGCAGACGCACTGGCACCTAGAGCAGCAGCCTCACTAGCACCTAGTGCAGCAGTACCAATGCCCGGGTCGGGCGGGAAACACCGGTAATAGTCACCCTCATCACTAATAGTCACAGCATACCTGGCAGCAAGGATAGCATCAAAGTCAAGATCATAGATAGCTACACCTGCCCTAGACAGCTCTCCCCAGCGGGGGATCTCACTAGCCTCCGGGAACTGCTGACGCCAAGCATCCGTCAGGCGGCCAAAGTAGCGCTGGGTGGGATGGGCACCTCCACACTGCTCACCCGCGCGGTCGCTGGAGCGAAGGACGTAGGTGCACGGACCAAAACCCCCACCACGCTGACGCTGCGTGTACCACTCACGGAGCTGCTGAGGAGGGGGGATGTCCCGAGAACGCTGCTGCTGCTGCTGCTGCTGCTGGCGCTGACCACCAGTGGAGCCTCTCCGCTACGAAGAACCACCCCGACCAGCTCCACCTTCTCCACCAGCGCCGCCTCCACCTCCGCCACCACCGCTGCCTCCGCTCCCACCGCCACCGCCTCCGCCGCCTCCGCCTCCACTGCTGCCACCAACACCTCCACCCCCGCCACCACTCCCACCGCCACCCCCACTCCCTCCGCCGTCTCCACCGCCACCTCCACCACCCCCGCTAGCTCCACCCGCGCCCTTGCCCCCCTTGCCCTTGCCAGAGCGGCGTCTCCCGCTAGGGGCAGACGCCGCACCGACCGACTCAAGACCAACGAGGTCGGCCGCAGCAGCAGAGGCGACAGAGGGCAACAGGGGGGAAGGGGAACACCCCTCAAAGATGGGGGTGCGAGGGTCACCACGAGTGGCTCCTACAGCGACTATGCTCTTCTCCGCTGCTAGGAGGGCCTTCTCTAGGAGGTCAACAGTGAGAGTGGTGGGACAGACTAAGAGGAAGTGTTCCCTGACTACGCGAAGGGAGTCAGGGAGGCGGGTGACTATATAATAGAGAGTGATGTACATGGGGGGGGGGTTCTTGGCGCAGAACTCAGCAGGAAGCGCGGCGCGGTAGCGAGTGTCACTAGTGCGAAGGTGCGTAATGAGGTCAGCGACTGTGGGAAAGGCAGCAAGCTTAGGAAAAAGGTACGGTAGCATGAGGCGGCTCAGTGCAGCAGTGGCAGGGGAAGAGTAGCGCGCAACTACAGCGTCGTACAAGGTCTGAGCACTCTTGTACTGACTAAAGTGCGCGCGCTCAGTGGTAGGCAGGTGGCGACGCACAGCAAGACGTGCAGCAGCATCGCGCGTGGCCCACTGGGAGCGAACAGTGGCGTCAGCGTCAGCAGCAGGGGCAGGGGAGGTGTCAGAGGTGAGGTCAAAGAGGGAGAGACCGTCTGCCCTATCGCATTGTAGGAAAAGCTGCTGGTCATCTACCCAAACCTCAAAGTCAATGGCCCGACCCTCAGCGTCAAAAGGGAGAACACTGGGGGTAGCCATGACAGCAGTAGACTAGCTGTACCAACTGTAAGACAGGGGCAGTGCAGTGACAGAAGCGCTGCTCTCACCAGACAGGGCGGTTCGGGCAGCTCAGCAGCACAGCAACACGGCGGCTCGGGGGACCCAGGCGGCTCAGCAGCAACTGTGGCTCTGCGGCACCAGAGGCTCGGCTCCTCAGCGGCTCGGGCGGCTCGGGCGGCTCGGGCGACTCGGGCGGCTTGGGCGGCTCGGGCGGGTCGGGCGGCGCGGGCGGCTCGGGTGGATCGGGCGGGTCGGGCGGCTCGGGCGGGTCGGGCGGTCCGGGCGGCTCGGGCGGCGCGGGCGATGAGGGCGGTAGGGCCGCTGGTAGGGCGGCGGGGCCGCAGTGAAAGGGGCGGTGGGGCCGCAGTGAAGGGCGGCGGGGCCTCCGTGAAGGGCGGCGGGGCCGCTAAGAAGGGCGGCGGGGCCGCAGTGAGAGAGGCGGCGGGGCCGCAGAGAAGAGCGGCGGGGCCGCTGAGAAGGGCGGCGGGGCCACAGCGAAAGCGGCGGTGGGGCCGCAGTGAAGGGCGGCGGGGCCGCTGAGATGGGCGGCGGGGCAGCAGCGAAGGGCGGCGGGGCCTCAGTGTGAGGCGGCGGGGCCGCAATGTGGGGCGACGGGGCCGCAGCGAAGGGCAGCGGGGCCGCTGAGACGGGCGGCGGGGCCGTAGCGAAGGGCGGCGGGGCCGCAATGTGAGGCGGCGGGGCCACAGTGAAGGGCGGCGGGGCCGCAGCGAAGGATGGCGGGGCCGCTGAGAAGGGCGGCGAGGCCACAATGTGGGGCGGCGGGGCTGCAGCGAAGGGCGGCGGGGCCGCTGAGAAGGGCGGGGCCGCAGCGTAGGGCGGCGGGGCCGCTGAGAAGGGTGGGGCCCGCTGAGAAGGGCGGCGGGGCCGCACCAAAGGGCGGCGGGGCCGAATCGACGGGCGGCGGGGCCGCTAGGGCGATGGGGCCGCTAGGGCGTAGGGGCCGCTAGGGCGGCTCGACGAGGTGAGAGCCCGGAGCGCGACTCGGGCGGAGCGCGCTTCGGGCAGGGAAAAAAAACTCGATGTGGTGGGCCCTAGGTACAGTTTCCACGGGGGAACCTGCTCGATACCATGAGGAAATTAGAACGAGAATGAATGAACTATGAATGAACTGGGTACATGTACTAACCCTAATTGGGTTGTACCCCTTATGGGCTACCCCACTATAGCCTACACAATATGCAAAAGCTATATGTTCTGACACTAGCCTCCAGCGCGACTTTCTTCAGTGACTCCAGCTAGCCGTACCTCAAGGCCCACTTGACCTTCTCCTTTACAGACCAAGGTCGCCTCGTCCGTTTGACGCCGCGGCCGTGAGGTGACGGGGGCCGAGCATTTGGATTCTTGTCATGCGGGTCCTTGGGCTTTCGCTTCTCCGGGTAGGTAAGTAATGGGCCCGCTGCTTCAGCGTAGTCATCATCCGAGTTTGGTTCGGCTTCACCGTCGCCTCCGTCATCCTTCCTGCAACCCTCATCTGCATTCGCCTTGCCACGGGTCCCCTTGCGACGATTCTTCTTGCCACCCTCCTTGTTAACATTCGCCTTGCCACGGGTCCCCTTGCTACTACCCTCACCAAGCGATACCTTCCCTTTCTCAGCAGCTGTGAGTCTCGGCTTGGTGCCCTTGTCAACGTGGTACTTGACGTGCCTTCGAAACAGGGGGACATTGTCCATGCTCCACAAATCCTCATCCGAATCCTATTAGATGCAACGGTCGCGACATCAGCATTGGCGTCTGCGTCGGTCGCCTCAGCAACACCGTCCATCTCCGCGGTGGCGTCGGACGCCGCCGCTGCCTCCCTGGCGACGTTCTCGTCCTAGCTGTCACCCACGTGCCACTCCACCTCCCCACCGGCATAGTCCTGGTTCCACCACTCGTCCTCGTTGATGTCCGCCTCCACGTCACGGGTGTCTTCGTCATCTTCATAGCGCCCATCCTCAGGCCATTCCTCCTCGTCATCCTCTACTCCGGCGGCATCCGACTCCTCGCAGCTCGCGACCGTGCTTTTGACGGCGGGTTGTTTGCGCCCAGTGGGCTTTGCCGTGCTGCCTCCAACGATGATGGTGACATCGTCGCCCGCCGAATTGATACGCCTGCTGTTCGCAAGGTACAGAGCAGGCGTACCAGGCTGTTTGCTACGCATGGCGACGAGAGAAGTTGGGAAACATGAGGAGGGAAGGGATTCGAATAGCAAAATGAGCACACTGATGTGGTAGACCTTGGACCCCCTCACGTAAGGGCGACACCCGTAGAGGACTGGTTCCGCAGAGGAGGGGGTGTCCTTGCAACAGAGGCATCCACGCTGCCACACCTGATGCAACCCACCTTGCAAGTTGATTCAAAGGCTGTAAAATGCTGCCAAGTGTGTGCACATGCGCCAAACATTGGATGAGGACGAGGAAACGGTCCCCTGTTGGGTCCTTGATCCCGCCAAACAAGAAAGCATTCTATGTTACGTGTTCAGGTATGTGCGATAAATACAAAAAGTAAATATTACGTTTATAAGTTTTATAAGACACCCATTTGGTTCTGTTTACAAGATACAGTGGCCATTTTCAATCCTATATGAGTTAAGACATATGTCTTCTATCCGGGCGATGACGGTAGTGGTAAAAACCCAGCCTTTGAGACAAATGGTTTCAAGACCAGTCAATGTGTATTTACATAAATATTGAGTTACAAGAGATGTGCAAGTGAGGACCTGCTGGGACAATGCCAAGGTGTGTGCAAAGCTATTGATAATCGCGAGGCTGGAGTGCCTTGGTAAAAATATCAGCAGTGTAGGCCCTTGAGGCAAAGTGTGACATGTGTGCCTGACCGCGCTACTGCAACTCACTCAGCATAAAGTACCGTAGCTGGATGTGCTTCACTCTCTTTTCCATACTAGGCTCCTGACATAGGACGATCATGGCTTTGCTACCGTAATCACCTGGATATAAGATCCGCCGCATTAGTGAACCCCTGGGTCCATAATATGGATGTGTGTCATATATTTATGTATATTTGGTTGATACCCCTCTTTTTAATTGACAATATTATAAGGCCCCCATCAATATAGAGAACGTGTAGTTTTTATAATAAAATCGCAGCATTTTCTTTCTTTCAAAGAAATCACGTAAGCTTCGCGTCGTCAATGTTGTATTGCTTTTTTAATACCGAGGTATTATAAACTTGATACCATATGTTGAGAGCCCCCACATTTCTTTTCTGTAGTCATCATAGGACTCTATGGTCTTATATACAGGTGATCAAGAAAGCTTGCTTTCTGTTCCTTGTAATTTTGCATCGTTTTCATTTACTTCCAGTCATGCGATGGGCGAAGCTGACTGCTGAGCATGTGAGCTGCACTACGGACAAGGTTGCTTTGCATTGGATTGCGTACACCAGGTATAGCGCGAGGGTCATGTCGGACGTGGGAAGAAACGGGAGGTCCACTTTCATGCAGAAAGCCCGAAACTTGGCCCAGTAGGGTTTGTATGTTCGAATCGTTGAATCGGCGCGAGATTGCGAGATCATGATGATGAGCTGGTTGTTTAGTTTCGGGAGCGAATCCGAACACAAGGCTTATTCATGATGAATTAGTCAAATACCACTCGAAGTGTGATGATTGGGCTGTGCGGTAGTTTAGCGCTGGAGAAGGCAGCAGAGTGTGGTCCTGCTGCAAGGCAATGACTACCGTGTGTTAGAGGGATGTGCGTGTGGATGTGCGACAACCAGGTGCGTGGAACGGGTTGTAGGAGTGGCCACCAAATTGCACCCGGCCAGTGTGGGACGATCAGTGTGAGCGATGCATGGGTTCGCTGTGCGTGATGGAGGACGCTGGAACCATGTGGGGGGTGGGGAAGGCAAAGTTGTTTTCTGATGTCCACGCGAGTGAGAAAGCGTCAACTGCTATGGCCTTAGGGTGGGGAATCTTTGTACAGAAGCATGGCAGTTGGGAATCGCGGGCGTTTGCAAAGAGGTCGATAGAATGGGGACCCCAATGACAATCCAAGATGCGAAACCACTGTATCTTTAATGAGTAATCGTCATGATCGACTATTTTGGAAAGCTCATCGACGTGTCAGTTTAGCTTACGCGGGATCCATTCGATGATCAATCGTGTTTCGAGCTCTATGCATGTCCCGATGATCCCCTTGCAGGTTGTGGTAACGTCTGGACTGCGGGAGCCGCCTTTTTGAAGGATGAAAAAGACGCCCTGGTTGTCCACTCACATGAGTACGCGTTTCTTCTGGATCTTGTTGGCATACGTTTGTAGCGCCTAGAGAACACCTTCAATCTCCCTCCGTGTGCTGGGCGTTGCTCGCAGCAGCTCTGACATGGTCGCGCTGGCTTCTTCGAGGCCACCCAAGAATGTGGTCAAAGTGGCGCCCCGGCTGTGAGAGCTAACGTCGACATGGATTACAGCGTCGTAGCTGTTTTGGACGTGAAACGGTGCACTGTTGAATCGGTCAAACTTTTCAAGCCAGAACTTGAGCTCCTTAGCTGCAGATAGAGGGATGACCACACTGCTTTTCCATGAAGGTGCGTCATAAATCACTTGTAACATGGCGTGGCTAACTGCGCGAGCTGTTGCACCGAGTGTGACGCCCATCGATGCGAGCATGCCTGTGACTCTGGCCACGTGGCGGACAGTGACTAGTCGGTGTGCCTTGCTTGCACTCAAATGGTGGCGTGCAGTAAGGCCTATCAGTCGAAACCGATGGAGAATCGGCCGGTGTCCGTGTTCAGCTCCACACCCAAGAATCGCAGGTGTTGCGATGGTGCCAGCTGCGATTTCTTTGCATTTATCACCAAACCTGCTGCTTTAAGGTCTAGTATTACGCGATGGCATGTAGCTTTTGCGTGGGCTTTTGATTGGCAGAGGAATAGAATGTCGTCCACATGTGGTACTACTCGCATGCCTAGCTCCCGCCAGCGTCGGGCTAGCTGCTTGATAAGCCGTGTGAAGACAAATGGGGCTGCCGCGAGGCCGAACGACAGTGACAAAAAAGAGTAAGTGCGCCCCCTCAAATCCAGTCCCCAGCGCGTGCCAAGTTTGGCAGGAATAGAGACAAACTGAGTAGCATAGTCAAGGGGGGCGGGCAGAGGCAAGGTCAGTAACAACAACGACAAGAACAGAGACGGGCTGTGGAGGAGCAGTGGGGTCGGTAACGTGGGAGGAAAGAACAGAGGAGACCGTAGGGCGAGCGATCTGGAGAACGGAGGAGAGGAGATTGCAAGGGACAAGGAGGAGGTGACGGGAGAACAGAAGGTGGCGGAGCACGAGAGACATGAGAACGGAGGAGCATAGGGTAGAAGGGGGATAATGCAGAAGGGGGACTGCTACCTAAAAGCCGGAAGTGATAGGATTTGAGTCAACGATTCCAACATGTTTGAACATTTTGGAGTTTAGACAACACATTATTTTTGCACCATCAATATTACTGGCCCAAGTCTTCCACTGGCATGAATTGCTATGTATCTTCATGGAGAGTGTGCCAAGCCTTGAAGTCGACACATCAGCGCCCGACCGGCCTGCTATAGCCCTTCGAGCCACCTGAACGACCATGGCAACAAGTGACAATGGATTCTGTCACGGGGCTACTAGCACGTATACGCGGTTGTCGGTGTGTGCTCGTCCGATATGTTTGCGTGGCTTGTCGGGCGGCGCGTAGTGTATGATAATGTCGCGGAATTCAGGGTCGATGCTGAGCTACACGCAACAATCCGTTAGTTGTGACGCTAAAAGGAGGTTGAACATCAGATTCTACACAATGAGCACATCATTGCGTGCGCTTTGAAGACGGCAATGCCTTGCGCGCAGTCGGTCGTTGTTTGCCACGGTGATGAATGTGACCATAAGGGTGGGGACGGCGTTGGACATGAAACACGCGGAGCCTACCATGTGCTACCCATAGCAGCTATCAAGGTACCACGTGTTGTGGTGCTTGTGGTCATGGTGCACGAGCATCGCAATTCGCAGTGTGACGATGTGAGGAGTATCAAACTTGAAGAACTGTTCACGTGCAATCCAGTCGATGGGCGCCACCCTAGCATCAGATATGTGCGGGGGGCTCTCATGCAGCGGGACTGGTAGATTCCAGTCCTTGTCATCGTCGTTGTCATAGTCGTGACCGGGGGTGAACGGGTTGTTTTCCGTGAATGCATCGATTGGATGTGGTGCTGCTTTTGGCGGTGGCGTGCGTACGTGGTGACGACGAGTTCCTTATGTGTGGCACTTTGCTATGTTGCAATTGATGTTACGAGCGGGTTCCAGGTATGACAGTTGCTGTTGATGGTGCTAAAGCGTTGGATTAGCATTGCGTGGTGCAGGCTCATAGCCCTGGGCTTGACGTGTATCCTGCCTTGCGTCTTGTCGGCCGGCCTAAGTGCTCGGATTGGACTGGTAGGGGCTAGAGCGGAATTCGCATCGCCCCGCCGAATGCACGATTTTTTTTTTTTTGCAGATTTTGCAGTTAAAGCGCCACGGTCGCCGCTCTTCTTTGTTGTCGGCGTAGAAGGTGAAGTGTTCTAATTCTCGTCGTGGCGTGGGGCACTGCTGATCTGTATCCTTTTTTTTTTTACATGAAGGGCGGCACAAAAGGCAGTTTCCGATATATCCCCTTGTTGCCGGAGGAGCACCTTGCGGGGTCGCCATTCGGGGCCGAGACTTGCGAGCACGATGGTGACAAAGATTTCTTAAGAAATCGAGCTCTCGTGCTTTCCAATTTGATTGCGTATGCCCTGGCAACAATTGATGTAGTTATTTGTCTTCTCCCCGGGTCCCACTTTGATCTCCATCACGTGCTGGAGTAGTCGGCTCGACGAGGTGTGAGGTGTCGTCAAGCTTCAAGTGTCGGGGCGGGTGTTGTTTTGTAGGAAAGCATTCCCAATTGCTTCGTCTGCGACATGTTGTGTAGCAAAATGCTGTACGCCAGGAGCAAGTCGGTGTCGTACTGCACTCTGGCGTCGTTAGTGTTGGCCGAGGGTCCTGCGTAGCTACCGTCAAAGTAGTGAAAAGTCTGCGCGTTTTGCAGCATCAACTCCAACTTGAAGCTCCAAGTATAGAAGTCTCTACCGTCAAAGAACCTTGATTGAGCTAAGAGAATTTCGTCGTCGCTGAGGCGGAGCGAGTAAGGAAGGCGCCTCCAATGAAGGGGG